TAAAGAACAATTTTTAAATTACAATAAACGCTACCTAAATTGGAATTTACCCGGTATAGCCTAATATATAGTTAAATTAACTATTGTACTTTAAATTAAATTAAAACTTGATCCAAAAAGTTATACAGGGTGAGACAAAATTAATATTGAACACTGGTCACCTTTAAAAGAATGTTACTCTTTTATTTTAAATGGAACACCCAATGTATTATTCAGATATTCAATGGAGAATTCATGTCTCTTCAAAATACTATTAAGGTTGCCTACCCCTCAAACAAAAATTTTCCTAGATATTTTCATTTACATGATTTGATCTAAGTAGATCTTTATTATTTAGGTGTAAAATAGCCACCTAGATAAAATCTAGGTGGCTCTGATATGTCTGACGTTACTTCAACATAGCTGTCTAATTAATCAAACTTTAACAACTAGTTATCATTTTGTGTCAGTTAAAACAAAACAATTTCTCAGAAATTTGCCGAAAATGCAAACTTATCCTACATCAGAGAGAATTGATATCATTCTATTAGTTGGTGTTGTTAAGTTAGGTTGTATTTGCAGTGTGCATTCACCAATTAATATAATACTTAAATGTTTCTGATTTTATCAAGTCTGGTTTTTTTATGGGGATATGTTAAAGACAGTGTTTACAAAACTCGACCAACTATTGTCGAGAAATCATTGTAGCTGCTCTTCTAGGCAGAACTCCACATATGCCGTTTTAAATGAAAAGATCATTTTGAAAAGACAATTATTTTATGCAGTTAGTAGTATGCAAACAGGAAAGGAAGTATTTTGAGCATTTGATTTCATTTTTGTCACATAATTATAGGTTTATGTCTAGTTTTAATTCTGTCATAATTAAAATATGTTTTAAACGTGTATCTTTTTATTACCGTTGAGTATTTTACTCTACAATCTTTAATTTTTGTTAAATTAACAAAAGGTAGTATCACACAGCCACCCTAGATTTCTTCAAATAATAAAGATTTACTGACGTAAAATCATAAAAAATAAAATATCTAAGAAAATCTTTGTCTAAGGGGTTGGCAACCTTAATAATATTTTGAAGATATACAAATTCCCAACTGAACACCGGAAAAATATGCTGGATGTTCCTTTTAAAATAAAGGAGTAACTTGCTTTTAAAAGTGGCTAATGTTCCATATTAATTTGGTTTCACTGTATAACTTTTCGAGTCAAATTTCAATTTGGTTTAACATACAATAGTTACTGTAAAAAATATCAGGCTATACAAGATCAACTAAAATTTAGGTAGCTGTTATCGAAATTTAAAATTCTTCGTTTTCAAAAAATGTGAAATATGTCAAAATCCTTAGATTCTTTAATGAAACTCACATTTATTTTTTATTTGCTAGAATCCAAAAATCAATTATTATATAGGGTGTTCCGTTAGAAAAAACATAACTTTGATGCCAAAATCTCATTTCGATATAAACTACCGTTCTCCTTGGAGCTTCCGCGGCGTATGAGAGGAGCCATCCTGTATACAAATGCATTTTTAAATGGAGCACCCCGTATTTTGATATATTATGATTTTAATTAAAAATAAGTATTATTCATTTAACTTAATATTATGAATAATTGTACTGTTTTTAATTAATTACATTTGAAAATTGACTTTTTCAGATTTTGAAAAGCAGTTCATGTGCCTTATGAAAGACTTTTAAATATGATATAAGAACATAGACACAACCTGGTTTGGCTGTTAATATTTAATGGTATAGACAAATCTAAAAAATACTAAAAAAATATAATTTTCAAACATGAATAATTCAAAAGTAATTGAATCAGTGTATGGTACGTTAAATGAAAAATTCCAAAAAAATTTGATTAGAATCAAATCAAAAATTTTTTTTAGAATCAATATCTGCTATGAGTTTCTCCATTTAAAACAATTCAATTTTGATCGGTTTTATCTTGTCTTTCAGGTACTCCTTTGTATAAATATAAATGCGCCAAAAAAACTACATAATATATCCTAGAATATTTAATAAAAATATATATAGGGTGTTTCTTAATGAAATAGTTGGGTTCACGAGGAAAATTATTGGTTAATTTTAAGAAAAAAAACTTCACAGGAAACTAGTTCCTAAACCTATCAACTTGATAACTGAGATACAGAGTGGACAAGGTTCCTAGAATCGTTTTGGCGGAAAATTAACTCAAGAGTCGCCTCTAAATCTCATTGAGGAACACCCTTATATCATAATATATTATTAAAAGGTTAATTATACAGTAGGTCCCCGGATTGTCTTTACAAGAGGAGAAACTTTTTTATTATTGATATTTTGAGAAAAACGCATTCGTCATAAAAATTTTTGCTTGTTCTAAAATGGTTAATCCCGTTTATACTTTTCCAAATTTCCATACCGTTTTAGAGAAAATTAAAAAAAAAACTGAAAATATGGTTGAATTTTTTGAAAGTCTTAAAAATCAAAACGCGTTTCTATGGTTTTCGTTCTTTGTTGTTATTGATAGAATTTTAATTAACGTCATATTTTTTGCGTTTTAAAATGATAAAGAAACACAAAATTTATTTAGTTGAATGCTACGGAAAGGATGATAATGGTTATCGGAAAATGTGATACCTTAACAATAGCAAAACATATGTCATTAACCAAAATTAATAATACCCATCTATCAAAGAATGAAATCTAAATTATATTACCATAAAAACTCGGTTTCATTTTTAGGGCTTAGAAAAAATCAACGATATTTTCATGTTTATCATTTTCAAACGGGATTAACCATTTTAGAACAAGCAAAAATTTTTATTAAGAATGCATTTTTCTCAAAATATTAATAATAAATATGTTTTTCCTCTTGTAAAGACAATCCGGAGACATACTGTATATTAGTTATATATTATTACCATAACATATTAAAATGTACCGAGAGGAAAATCCCGAACATATTCTAAATGATATGATAGTCGGTCGCTTAGGGTTACCAAACCGGGTGCCCGGTGCATATTTATCCCCGAAATACCGATATTAAATCCCAGGATTCCGAAAATGTCGAAAAATTTTAATGCCCAATCTAAAATGATTCGAGTTAGTCTTTCAAATATCATATTTTATTTATACTAACAGCGCTTTTAGACGGAGCGGAGCGTCCGCGCGTACCGTCCGCGTGTTCCACTAGTTCAAATGAACAGTTTTACATGGGTCGCGCGTATGCTCCGTCCGGATGAGATCGTCGACGGCTATCTTATCTTGAAAAAATATCCGTGCGGACGCTTTGCGCTTACGGTCGCGCTGAGTCCTGAAAGCGCTGTTACAGCGTTTTCAGATAGAGCGAAGCGTCCGCGCGTACCGTCCGCGAGTTCCATTACAGGGCTTTCAGATGGAGCGGAGCGTCCGCGCGGACCGTCCACCAGTTCCATGAATTTAAATGAACATAATTTCACATGGATCGCATATGTTCCGTCCGGATGAGCTATCTTGAAAAAACATCCGCGCGGACGGTCCGCTCCATCTGAAAGCGTTGTAAGCCGAACGTCAATATCTAAGTGTTATATTTCCGTGTTTGCTATATTTTTTTTGCAACAAGATTTTAATTTTTTTTACTAACTACATATGGAAAATTACTTTGTTTATTCTATTTTAATAAAGCTCTTTCCTCATTTTCTTTTTGATTTATTATGTAGCTGCATTTTTATTAAATATTTCTTTAGATTAAATTTCTCATTCTGATCCCCGCGATTCCGAGATTATAGGTTCTTATTCCGGGATTTTAAATAATTGGAAATCCTACTTACACTGAGTGAAAGTTTTTTTATATCGTTAGTTGTATTGGCTAAATATTTGTGAACAATGGGTTAGAAATACCGTTTGATCGAAAAAGAAACGGCGTCATAGACGCCTGGGGAATGACAATAGTTGCTAGTTTCGGCGAGGTCAATCTCTAGACGCCAGTTCCTAAAAATTGACATAAAACTTATCAAAAATTAATACTAATTTTCTAACATCTAAAAAACGATTGAATGTTTCCAGACTCCCAAATCTACTTCCAAAAAAGTATTTTTTTCTCGAATTTTAAATTACATTATTAAAAAATAATTTTTACTAATATAAAAATAAATTACAACGTTTTTAAAGTCAATTGGCAGTAAGCACCATGAAAAAATAGAGAATAGTACGGGCCAAGTAAATGGAGATCTAGGGCTTGACCTCGCTCATAATAATAATTATTGATTGTCATTCCCCAGCCGTCTTTGACACCGTTTTTTTTTCGATCGTATTGTACGTTACGATTTTTTTCGGTAAATATGTGATAATATAATATAGCTGCTTGAACGAAAATATTGATTCCAAATAGCAATATGTAGCATTTACAAACACTAATTCTGAATCAGCGTAGCTACACGGAAATTACTAAAAATTTTATATTAAAAGGTTAATTGATAATTACTCACATTCGACAATAGTTGTGGAGTCCTTTTCACAGGAAGTTGAAATTTGTATATTTGTGGTATCTATATTACACACTTTTATGGTGCAAGGTATTTGTGGTAGCACAAATACACATTCTAAAATTATAATATTTGTGGAACAGGTTTCCACAATTAATAAATGCCAATAACTTTCTTACGGTGGAGTGTATAGACATAAATTATATTTTTAGGTCGTGGACAGCGAGTTCGTATCATTTCGTACAAAAATAGAGATGATACCACAAATGTCTTTACTGCACGGTTGTCACAAATATGGTCAAGCGTGTATAGGTGTTTTGTTGTGTGTTATTGTCGAGATTAACCGGGTAATGTCGACATTAACCGGACATCGTACCTTAACCGTAACATATAGGTACCTTATACAACGGGATCATTTTCAATAAAAACTATTCGTATTTCTATATCAAATCAAATTCGATTATAATTTGATATATATCTGTGATTATTTTTTGGTAAATTTATGTTTAAATTGTTCGATAGATTTTTATAATCGTCTTAAATGGTTAAAAATAATTTATAGGCAAAATCCCAGTATATAGAATGCAAGAAAGTGAGGGTTGGTTTGCTTACCTATCCAGAATCCATGAAAGTAGCTTGCGAAATAGGTCCAGAGTGCCTTAGATGCTTCGCTCCTTATGCACCGTAAGTATTTATCTCATCAAAAACATAGAATGTCAAAAAAATGTCTCGCAACACAATTTTTTTCACTATAAAAAATTGTGAGATCTCATGTAAAACCAAGTCAGTTTATTGTATTTAGTTTCTCTTTAAGCACCTATTCAACAATTTTGTTATAAATTGTTAGTACCAATCTTTGAATAAGAAGACTAAGGAAGGAGCATATCAAAAATCTTAGGTACACCGCAATGGGCCTCAAATAGGGCCGACTTAAATTCCGGTTTATCACTGTCGTTCTAATTTTATTTAAAAAATGTATAACTATGATGTAGGGTAGACGTGGGGTAGACTCAATAATTTGTCGTTTTATTTTACGTTGTGAATAAAGGTTGGTAGTTATTAAAATTGTTATAAAAATATATAATTCTAATAAAAATAGATAAGTTATAATAAGTATTTATTAACACAAACATCCGATACGCTACTGAAGCAGGAAAGTCAAATTAACGTATTTAAATTCTTTGACATCTAATCTTTGACAAGTAATAAATAAAAGCTAAAATGCAAGAAAAATATATAATTTAGTTAATTTAAGTGAATTTCATAAATGATCGGTTTACTACACGTATGTATATTATATAGTCACTTACTAGCGAAAAGTTGTTCCACTATTTTACTCAATTTTGCCGAGATCTACCGCACGCTACACAACCAACTATTTTAGAGTCTTTTTCGATAAATCGCGATAGTGTCACTGTTAATTTAAGTTCTGCCACAATTTCCATCTAGATTTACTACTTTTATACAACTATCAGTAGTAGAATAAATAATAAATAACATAAAATAAGCTCCGTAAAGACTGACAAATCTACAAAATTTCAAATCAAATTCAAATATGTCAAATGAATCGTCAAACAGAACTGTCAAGGATCCCCACCCTAGAGTGCTTTTTCCGCCCACCATACATGAATACATGGATAGCATTATGCTCCTTCCTTTAGTCTTCTTATTCAATAGGTCTAATATTAGACAGTAATAATTTAATAATGACTTGGCAAATGCGCGGCACCAAAAGTATAAAAGAATAATCTACCATTTCGATTACTAAGTAAACGTAAACAGTGCACTTAACAATAACGTTTTTTAATTAGTATAGAATCATATCGTGCATTTGTCTCACTTGTATCTTCGAGTTTGAATCCATTTTTGCCTTTGATCAAATCGATGTGAGAAGCTGTGAGGCTGTAAAATGTTGATTCTCGAGAGTGTAATTTCCGGGAAAGTTCAGTTATTGACTCGTATTGCACCGAACAACTACGTAATTACATGCTAACATTTTTTCGGCAATTTTATTAATGAAATTGAAATTGTCACAACACAACGCGACGTCCAGGGCCCAAATTCTGGAACTTTGACATACTACTTATATACAGGGTGACGTCTCTCATACGCCGCAGAAGCTCCAAGGAGAACGGTAGTTTATATCAAAATGAAATTTTGGCAGCATATGTAGGTAACTGAAAGCATTTTATAAAAATATATAGAATTATACAGGGTGTCCAAAAAAAGTTACACATCAAAGTTGTGTTTTTTCTAATGGAACACCCTATATATTAATTGATTTTCGGATTGTAGGAGAAAAATAAAGGTGAGTTTTATTAAAGAAGCATATGCCTAAAATGTAAGAATTTCGAGATATTTCACATTTTGTGAAAATGAAGAGTAAATTTTAAATTTCGATCATAGCTACCTAAATTTTAGTTGACCTTGTATAGCCTAATATTTAATTACAGTAACCATTGTATGTTAAACCAAATTGAAATTTGACCCGAAAAGTTATACAGGGTGAGACAAAATTAATATTGAACATTAGTCACTTTTAAAAGCAAGTTACTCTTTTATTTTAAACGTAACATCCAGTATATTTTTTCGGTGTTCAATGGGGAATTTATATATCTTCAAAATATTATTAAGGTTGCCTACCCCTCAGACAAAGATTTTCCTAGATTTTTTAATTTTCATGATTTTGCGTCAGTAGATCTTTATTATTTGAAAAAATCTAGGGTGGCTGTGTGATATACCTTCTGTTAATTTAACAAAAATTAAAGATTGTAGAGTAAAATACTCAACGGTAATAAAAACATACACGTTTAAAACATATTTTCATTATTACAGAATTAAAACTAGATATAAACTTACAATTATGTGACAAAAATTAGCTAGATGAAATCAAATGCTCAAAATGCTTCCTTTCCTGTTAACTGCATAAAATGATTATATTTTTCAAAGGATCTTTCCATTATAAAAGGCATATATGGAGTTCTACCTAGAAAAGCAGCTACAATAAAATCTCTAATGTTGTGGACAAAACTCTTTAAAATATCCCAATAAAAAACCAAACTAGATAAAATTAGGAGCATTTAAGTATTCTATTGTTGCGGACCCGTATGAACTCGGACGAAAAACGTAACAATATTAATGTGAATACACGCTACATTCACCAACTAATAGAATCATATCAATTCTTTCTGATGCAGGATAAGTTTGCATTTTCGGCAAATCTCTGATTTTTTTTGTTTTAACTGACACAAAATGATAACTAGTTTTTAAAGTTGGACTAATTAGACAGCTATGTTGCTATAATTTAATACTCATTTCCAACTACAGCCTATTGCTGCCTTCCCGTCACCCTACGCCACACATCTCGATTTAGAGCGTCATCAGCTTCTAGGTTACGAGCTTCCATTGCTTCCGTAACCGTTCCGTTCCAGGATTTTCTAGGTCTACCTCTCTTTCTTCTGCCCTGGGGACCCCACTGAAAAACTCTTTTTGGCCACCTGTTCTCCGGCATACGCAGAACATGTCCAAACCATTTTAAGCTGGATTTTTCGATTCGATCTAGTACTGTTTCCTTCGATGCATTCATGATACGCCTGACCTCGATGTTTGTCTTTTTTTCCATCCTAGATATACCTGCACTTCTTCTAAGGTAGTCCATTTCAACAACTTGGATTTTGCAATTCGCGTCTGCACTCAGAGTCCATAGCTCTGAACCATAGCAAAGAACTGACTCCACCAATGTTCTTCCAAGTCTCTTTTTAGTTGTTGCAGACAAGTTTCGGTCCCACCAGAGGCTGTTATGACATCCAATAACTTGTTTGCTCTTCTGAATTCGGGTTTGTATTTCTACTTTGCCCAAACCCTCGTTGTTGATAGTAGCACCCAGGTATTTAAATTTGTCTACTTGTTGAATCTGGACGTTATCATTAATGAATACTTCAAAACAAGCGTTAGAATTGACAGCTAAGTATTCGGTCTTCTTTGGACTAACCTGAAGTCCCCATTTGTTGTATTCTTGATAAAGCCTCTTAGTCATGAACTCTAGATCGTATGAGTCCTGCGCAATCACGACCTGATCGTCTGCAAAGCCCGGGGTAAATAGTGTGTTGTCCCCAATGGGTATTCCCATACCTTGACATTTCGTCTTCCGTTCCCTAAGGGCTACTTCGACGTAAGCGTTGGAGATCAGATCAAATCATTTAGATGAAAATATCTAGGAAAACCTTTGTTTGAGGGGTAGGCAACCTTAATAGTATTTTCAAGAGACATGCATTCTCCATTGAATATCGGAATAATATACTAGGTGTTCCATTTAAAATACAAGAGTAACATGCTTTTAAAGGTGATCAATGTTCAATATTAATTTTGTCTGTCCCTGTATAACTTTTTGGATCACGTTTTAATTTATTTAAAGTACAATAGTAAATTTAACTATATATTAGGCTATACCGGGTAAATTCCAATTTAATTAGCTTTTATTGTGATTTAAAAATTGTTCTTTATTTCTAGAAAATATTAAATTTGTCAAAAACCTTACATTTTAGTCATATACTTCTTATATAAGACTCACCTTTATTTTTTTCCCAGAATCCGAAAATCAATTAATATATAGGGTGTTCCATTACAAAAAACAAAACTTTGATATGTAACTTTTTTTGGGGACACCCTGTAGAACTCTCTACATTTTTAAAAAGAGCTCTGAATTAACCTACATATGCTCACAAAATTTCATTTCAATACAAACTGTCGTTCTCCTTGGAGGCTCCGCGGCGCATGAGAGGCGCCACCCTGTACCTGTACATACTCTTTCTAAGCGGTAAGCGAAAGTATTCGATTAACGGAACGCCAAGCAGTCGATTTTGGTATTCTTGTTTCGGTGCGAATCGTTTCCTGGATACGCGTTGAGCACATATTGGCAGCATCGCAATTTCTCAGGTATCTTATAGTCAAATGTGGATAAAACGATGAAAAATGTCAAATATTACGTGAATTGAGCTCCAGACACTAATATTAGTTTTCATAGAAAAATGTTTCCCTTTAAAAGCGTCCAATTTGGCCCACCCTGTACTTAAACTCCCTTGGTCTTGGTCTTGCATTTGCTCATCACTAATAGCACCCAGTGGCGTGTCGTGGATAAAAGAGCGGAGGGGGCGAAAACCTTAAGGGGCGCAATGATCACTAAAGGATCAAATAAATTACAAACTTTTTTGAAATAATAATACTACATGAAAACTTTTTTTTAATTATAAATTTGTTTATTGAAAAAGTTAGTATACAAAACAGTTATTTCAAAGATGCAAGCGTCTTGTTTTAACCGATTTAAAAGAATCAATTATTTCGTCTATATTTAGATCCTGGGTTGTGTCTGCTTGAATACTGAGGTCGGTCAAGTTTGCCCCCCATACTAGAGGAAATTCAAAAATAAATATACCACTATTTTGCACACATTTTGTACAATTTTGCACACCATAAATGATATTTTGCACACTTACCTAAGGGAAACTAGAGCCGTTTTTTAAACGGGGGGCAAACTTGACCTTTCCCCCATTTGTTACCAAATTGATTTATTTCTATGTACATGGATTCGGCTAATTTTGCACAATTTTGCACACCTCTTTTAGAATTCTGCACACCTTCCTGACCAAAGTTATGAGGGTTTGAAAATTTGAAATTTCCCTCCCATCTGCTACGAAATTGAATTTTGTTTATATCAAACGAATCGGCTAATTTTGTACAATTTTGCATACCTATTTTAGAATTTTGCACACCTTCCTGACGAAAGTTATGAGGGTTTGAAAATTTGCAATTTTCCCCCCATCTGCTACGAAATTGACTTTTGTTTATATCAAACGAATCGGCTAATTTTGCACAGCTACATTCGAATTTTGCACACTGTCCTGATAAAAGTTATAAGGGTTTGAATATTTGAAATTTGTCCCATTGTGTGTGAATTGTCCCATTTAAAAAACATAAGTATGAGTCATATTTGAAAATGATGTGATCTCAGCGACGTGGAAAATTGTACGGAACCCATACTTTTCGATAAGTATAGGATAACCGAGATATGAGGGTTCTCGAAAAATGCAAAATTTTCAAATTTGCCAGGTAAGTATTTCAGGAAGTAAGAGGGCTAAGACAAATCTGTGTGTAGAATCTTTAGTGTCATAAATGTTCTTCTATGCAAGCTATAAATTATCGAAAAGGTGAAATCTAAGTTCCGTGCAGTTTTTCACGTCGCTGAGATCTATCATTTTCGAAATATGACTCATACTTATGTATTTTTAAATGGGACATTTCACACACAATGGGACAAATTTCAAATATTCAAAGTCTTATAACTTTTGCCAGGAGAGTGTGCAAAATTTGAAAATAGCTGTGCAAAATTGTGCAAAATTAGCCGATTCGTTTGATATACACAAAATTCAATTTCATGACAGATGAGGGGGAAATTGCAAATTTTCAAACCTTCATAACTTTAATCAGGATGATGTGCAAAATTCAAAAACAGGTGTGCAAAATTGTGCAAAATTAGCTGATTCGTTTGATATAAACAAAATTCAATTTAGTCACAGATGGGGGGGGGGGATTTCAAATTTTCAACCGCTTATAACTTTCGTCAGAAAGGTGTGCAAAATTGTGCAAAATTAGCCGAATCGATGTACATAAAAAAAATCAATTTCGTAACAAATGGGGGGGAACGGTCAAGTTTGCCCCCCGTTTAAAAAACGGCCCTGGTTTCTCTTAGGTAAGTGTGCAAAATATCATTTCTGGTGTGCAAAATTGTGCAAAATGTGTGCAAAATAGTGGTATATTTGTTTTTGAATTTCTTCTAATACGGGGGGCAAACTTGACCGACCTTCAATACTGAAAAGTGATAAATATAGTAATTGGTTCTATCTTGTGTGCTGGTGCACCTCTGGTAATTATTAATTCTTCCTAATCTACTGAAAGATCGTGCTGCACCAGCACTGTTGGTGGCTATAGTGTAAAAAATCCTCAGTAATGCACATAAAGATGGATATGAAGACTCTAGGTCATTGGAAATTAAAAATGATAAATATTCGTCAGGTGCAAGTTTGTTGTCATCAGCATTAATTTCTTCTAATAAACTGCAAAAATGTTTATATTCCTCAACCGAATCCTCAACTAAAGAAGGTTTAACATCCGCTTGGTACAATATCTGCAGATCCATAAGACATTTTAAATTGTCATCATTGACATCCATATCCAAAAACAATTAACTTTTGGCATATATTAAGGAAGTCTTCAAACCGATTGTCTAGATTACCAGTTAAAATGTCTAAAGTACCATAAAACACTGATATCTTGAAAGTATCTTCAGAATTTTGATGTAGGTAATCATTCTGGATTTCATCATGCATTTTTTTTATTCTTCTTTGTCTTTTTGTGGCAAATGATGTTGACGTATTGCATTTATTTACCAAAATAGTAGCCTGTTTTTTAACATTTTCAAAATATTTTTCACCTCTTAATGATTTGAGATCTTTAGTTACCGCAGTGATCATATGAGCAGCTGTAGATAAGCTGATATTAACCTTTTGCAAGTGATTAGACAATATATTAATTTTATTCAGCACTTCATTATAATCGATTATATTTCGGTCGGTGATTCCCCGAATTTATTTTCATCGCGACTGCTTTCGTCTTCTTCTTTGGCGGCGCCGGCGCAACGTTATGTCTAGCCATTGTATTTTTATTTATAGACAATGGTCTAGCGGTAGCGTAGTTTCAAAACCCATATGAAAACTTTCGTACGTATACGCCTACCGTATTATTCATATATAAATAAACATTAAAAAACAAAAATAAAATGTGAGAAATATATACGTCATTTTTTTATCTTGAAGAGCAAAGGGCACGGTAGGGCATCGTTTGTTTCTGCGTTAAATTTAGTTTTTCTAATTTTTTTTAAAGGGCGTCACAGGCGCTAAGCCCCTAGGGGCGGAGAGGGCATCCACCCCCCCCCCTGGCCCCCTATACGACACGCCGCTGCTAGCACCTGCAAAAATTAAACTTTAGTCCTTTAGAGGATCAGGAGGCGAAACTTTTAAATTTTGATTTTGTTTTTTTGCAGGGCCTTGACCAACTTCTTCCTCATCTTCTACCAGGTGGGCACCTGTTGCGTGTACGTCGTGTTCGTTGGCAAGAACTTGAAGTACGTCGGGGACGTCTACACCTCGTCGCCGTGGAGCCTATACCTCTACATGACGATGATCTTCGTACCGTTCCTGCTCATCCTCTGCGTCAAGAATCTCAAGTTGCTGGCGCCGTTCTCCGTGGTGGCCAACATCATCACTCTGATCACGTTCGGAGTGGTTTGCTGGTACATTTTCCAAGGCCTGCCCAAATTCAGCGACAGGCCGGCTATGGGCTCTATAATGAATTATCCGCTTTATTTCGGGACTTCGCTGTTTTCTCTGCAATCTGTTGGAGTTGTAAGTACAATCATAGGCCAGTAAGCGCGGATAAAAATAGGGTATTACCTCCGAATTCTTGACACCCGCACCGGTTGACGTGAAATTTTAACAGTGAATAGAGATATACAGGGTGAGTTTCCTACGATGTTCTCTATGGGTATCTCGGAACCTACTGGAGATAGAGAGTCGGTTAAATGGGGAAAGAATTGCAGTTTTGTGGGGTCGTAAATATGCGCCTTTCAGATTTTTGAAAAAGTTCATGGCTTACTAGATATTTAATTTAACTAAAAATCTAGAATGGTGATCGAGGAGGCCCATGCATCCACTTTTTTCTATCCCTGATTTTGCATAATTATGATATAAATAATTTTTAAAATTTCCTTCATTATGAGGGGGGGGTGTCATAATGAAAGTCATGTTGGAACCACTCTATTGATGCGCGAGTATCTACACACTTTTCTTCTTTGGAAAAATTCATATTTACAATTTTTGTTTATTTTAATTTACAATGTTTAGATGTGACAGCTTCACATTTCTGAGAGCAACGGCGATTGAAGTTGTTTCCTGGCTAACTAAGTGAAATTGTTTAAAAATTATAAGAATTGGCTATAACTTATAACTCTAACTAATTTTTCGAAAAAAACATATTATAGCTTATATGGCTAAAAAGCTTAAAAAATGGGGCTTTTTATGAATCCAAGGCCAACTATGGTTTCCATTTAAAAAAACATATGTTTGTATCATATGTCAAATATGACAGGCTTTAGAAAAAAGCGGAGGAGAGAATATCATTAAGGATGTGATTATCTACAACTTTTATCGGAAAACTTTTTCTCCAAAATAGCTTATGGAATTAGGGACAATTTTTAAAAGAGCCAAAATTTGTTTTTTTCGAAATATCTAGTAAGCCATGAACTTTATGAATTGCTATGAATTATGCACTTTTTGAGTCGCACCTCAGGTATGCCCTTCCATTCTGGGGTACGTGTTGTGCGACTCAATTTGACCGTATTTTCAAGCTCCAGAAGAGAGCTGTTCGATATTCACTAGGACTAAACAACAGAACTCATTGCCGGGACTTTTTTAAGGAATTAAGAATATTGACTCTTCCTTCCTTATTTATATTTGAATCCGTTTGCCTAATACGTAAACATGTATCAGCTTCTCAAGAAAGGCCATCTTACACTTATCCACTCAGGAACGCGGAGCAAGATCTTTATCTACCTACCCCACGCTCAGAGTTAGCTAAAAGTTCAATATTATACAACTCGAAAAAAATGCACAATCACCTACCATTTGAAATCAAATCCATAACATCATTTTTTTCATTTCGCAAAGCATTGAACTCTTATTTACTAGACAAGGCTTTCTACGTCGTAAATGAATTATATTTGAATTGAAAATCGAATTTGATCTTGAACACACTGGTCTAATGTTTGCTATTGCTATATTTACTAATGACATCGAAATTAATTTATTTAGAGGTCATTGATATTTTGCTATAAACTGGCTAAATATTTTTGAATATTATTTTAAATTTTTTGTTCTTTGACATTGTAAACATTTATAAATGTTTATTTTAACAATAAGACTGACAATATTATTTATATAATGTTTTGTATTATCTTTTGTTTGTTTGTTTGTGTACCTTGTTTTTTTTCTACTTTGTTTGTTAGTTTACGTTTGTCTACAAATTGAAAAATTTTTTGACAATAAAGGCATTTATTTATTTATTTATTTATTTTTCAAAAATCTGAAAGGCGCATATTTATGAACCCACAAAACTGCAATTCTTTTCCCATTTAACCGACTCTCTATCTCCAGTAATTTCCGAGAGAACATCGTAGGAAACTCACCCTGTATGTAAGAAACAAAAGTTATATGTGTGTAGCGATGTGTGCTTTCACCCTGGTGGTGAATGCGACCCTTTCTCGGAGGTGAAAAATAAATCACTCATTTTAATTGAAAAAAATCGATAAAGGGATGAATTCTAAGCAAAAAATGTTCTATAATATTTTTTCAGCAAATTAATATTTTCCGAGATATTTAATATTTAAAATGTTGATTTTTCATCTAAAAACTGCATATTTTTCTACCATTTTTTTATAAATAATTCGAAAAACTTGTGTTTTATCGCGAACTTCAAATAAAGGAAAAATGAAACTTTTGGAATAACGAATCGATTCATTTTTTGCTGATTACCGTAGTTATAATAATAGTCGAGTTATCACTCTGTAAAGGTGATTTTTTATTTTTCGAAAACTAAATTGTAACTTTTTACCGTAAAATAATGGCGAAAAAACAGATTTTTTGAAGAAAATGAATATGACCGTTTTTAAAGTGCTTAATGTGCCTTTAATGTAGAAATTTTATTTTTATTTCGATTTTTTTCAAATAATTTCTGAAATAACGTCAATATTTAGATGAAAATTCGTGTCTGGGAGTTTTTTGACATGAGAAATTTGCTTTTGATGTCAATATGACTCCTACTGGTAGAGGGCGCCACCACAATGTGTTTTAACTATTTTGAAGCTTAATAACTTTTCGTCCGTACCTGTATAAAACTACTGAGTAAAAAAATATACATCTCTGTGATTTTTTACGTAAGAAATATCTCTTTGTAAAAATCGCTACGAGTAACCGTTCTCAAGATATTTAGAATGGAAATTAGCGATGGGAACTATCGAATGAATTAGACTATCGAATGGTTACTGAATGAATGATTTCAACTATCGAATGGTTTTATTCGAATAAAATCATTCATTCATTTGTATACTAAAGCATATGTGACAACCTCGCCGTGCGACTAAATGGTTATCGTTGAGCCGCGACTATCGAATGCTTTTGATAAATGAAATTTAGAATTTAGTATTCGTTTGATTTTTGTGTGCGTCAGTGCATTATTAGTTCTTCCAAATTTTTATAACTAGGACGTATAAATAGTGTGCTATTTTTGCGTTTATTAAAATATTTAAAATACTAAAATAGTAGTTTTTTTAATTGACGATTGTGTGCGTGTGGAGGTGGTCAAAATTTTTCCGAAAATTTGTGTGATTTTCCGTAGCCCGATCTTTCAATTATTTAATTTTATATGGTATATGGTCTATTTTTTATTGGGTAATTTTGAGAAGTAGCAATTTTTAAGAGAGATGAGATGAACTTACAATTAATTTTAAAAATACATATTTGTATTTTAGATGTTTTAATTTTTAATAATATGAATTAGTTGAACTTAATAATCATATTTAAGTAATGTGGTTAAGTAAATGATTATCGAACTCAAACTATGGGGTGAGAAAATTAAATTGAAAGTTTTACACGTGCCAATTAAAAAAAAAGTTAACGATGTTTGTATTTTGTTTATGCTAATTCTCTTACATGTAGTTTTTTGCGAAGAAATATTTCATTTATTTTTTAAAGTAAATGCCAGTAAAAGTAAATATATTATTTTTAAATAGTAATATAAAGCACCTAATATAAATAATTTTGATTTCTAATTTTTTATTTATATTTTCCTTCCATTACACTGCATGCTTAGAAAATTAATAAATGTTGATATTTCATGATTTTAAAATTTGTTGTTAATATAACAAATTAGTTCTGTAATTATTATTATTTATAAACCAACGTTGCCACACAAAAAATTTAGAGACTATATTATTTTTAAATAGGATCTAATATAAATAATTTTGACATCTAATTTGTTGTTTATATTTTGCTACTACTTAAAAAATGTTTATATTAAATGATTTTAAATTTTGTTGTTAATAGGTATAACAAATTATTACTGTTATTATTATTTATTAAACCAGTCTTTGCTTAAAAACATTAAAAATCATTTTCCTACATCCAAAATAACAAGTATTATTGCAGTGTAACAACAGAATATTAATAAAAAGAATGCAAAATATATAGACATACTATCCCTAACTAACTAAAGCCAAACAATAATGTTCTTTGCTAATATCAACTAATACCAATATATGGCAACAGCGCCCTTCATAATATATTTTCTGCGTAAATACTAGCACCTCAATAAAAAAAATAATGTGTCCTTATCTTTATCTGACTCCACAAAAAATCAAAGATGCCGCCTTCTTTCATAGCATTGCCACCGACCGCTGTCGGGTTTCTCGGAAACAAACCTACGTCGCCGGGCGACAACTAAAATCCAGTTAATATTTTATTATAATCGATCCTGACCAATAAATGAATTTCATAAATGAATGAATTTTATAAATGAATGAATTTTATAAATGAATGGTTTTTGCTGCCGAATTACTAGAATAAAATATTTCAAGGCAGATGACGCATCTATTCGATAATTTTTATTCGAATAGTTTTCAACGAATGTTTTCTTACTAGCTATCGAATTATTCGAATGAATTGCAACTATCGAATGTTTCGATAGTATTCATTCGATAGTTCCCACTACTAATGGAAATAGTCAACACATGCCATTATTGACGAAAAATAAACATGTTGAGTTAGATAGTTATTTCACTGAAATAATAAATTTGGGAAATTTTTATTTTTTTAAATTAATCATATTTTTTCTTCAAATAAATAATGATAAAACAGTTTCTGTTGAACTTTTGACAAAAAAACATTTCAAATTTATGATCTTAGTCTAATAACTATTTAGTCAACATGTTTAATTTATGTCAGTGATGACAGGTATTGATAATTTCGATTCCAAATATCTCGAAAACCGTTACTCGTAGCGATTTTTACCAAGAGACCTTTTTTACGTAAAAAGCGTCGTAAATGTATATTTTTTTACTCAGTAGTTTTATATAGGTACGGACGAAAAGTTATTACTCTTCAAAACAGTTAAAAAATATGTAGGTGGCGCCCTCTACTAGTAAGAGTCATATTGACATCAAAATCAAATTTCTCATGTCAAAGAACTCCCAGACACCAATTTTAATCTAAATATTGACGTTACTGCAGAAATTATTTGGAAAAAATCGAAATAAAAATGAAACTTCTACACCCTGTATCTCCGAAACTAAGCATTTTTGGACATATATCTACACGAACATTTTTACTCATTTTTATCTGCAGAATAGGCTGCCGAAGTTTCCGGAATACAGTTCGGACCACCCTGTATACACACAAATCAAAATAAAAAAACGTAATGTCTTCGAAATAAAGAGATCTACAGAAAAATTGAAGTAGAGCAAAAATACCTTCAATTTTACTCTGTTGTATTTTTACGTATCTTGCTTAGTTTTTGAGATAAGTCAAAAAAATTAAAATTTTTTAAAAAGTAAAAAATATATTTTTTTATTATTTTCAACTTTTTTCCAAATTTAGGCATTCTCGAGGGCATTCTAAACCGCTCGAACTTGCAGAGACCATTGTTAATACCTAAAGACACCCAACTGTACAGCTGGTTCCAAAAAAAAATGAATACGATTCTTTACACATTCTTTTCGAATATTTGAGCAGTGTATATTTATGTGTATAATGTTAAGGTTATTGTGACATTGTATAAAACAACTTTGCTTTTGACAAAGTGGCAAATAACTTTTTCAGAACGTCAGCATGACATGAGTAGAGAAATGGGGGCAGGTATCTGAGGTATCATAGAATATACTGCCCGAAATAATAAAAATATGTTTTAAATCGTACTCAATTTTATTGGAACCAGCTGTACATGTATTATGCTTAGTTTTTATTTTTATGATTTTAGTCCTTTTTTATTAGATTTTGTTGTTAATTTTTTTCCGAAATAATGAGGTGACCATTTTGTTTTTCTCATAACTATGCGAGTTTTTGAGATACAAACTTAAAAAAAAACATTTAAAAGGTCTTTTCAGTTACTTTAAAAACGGCCATATTCATTTTCTTCGAAAAATGTATTCTTTCGCCATTATTTTACAGTAAAAGGTTGCCATTAAGTTTTCGAAAAATAAAAAATCACATTTACGTTTACGTACGAGTTATAACTCGGCTATTATTAGACCTACGGTAATCAGCAAAAAATGAATCGTTTAAGTATTCTAAAAGCTTCATTTCTGCTTTATATGAGTTTTGCAATAAAAGGCAAAATTTTCGAGTTATTTATAAAAAATGGCAGAAAAATATACAGTTTTACATGAAAAATCAATATTTTCAATCCTAAATAACTAGGAAAATATTAATTTTCTGAAAAAATATTATAGAAAATTTTTTGCTTAGTCTTAATGCATCTACAATATTTTTAAGAAAACATTAAAATACGATTACAATTTTTTTTAAATATATAACAAACATGTGTATATAGAGTCAAAAAATATTAGTCAGTTAAAAAAATCTTACAAAACAATACATTAAAAATTAACAATATAAATATGGGAAATATGAGAAAACTTGAAATTAAAAGCTATTATAAATTATTGTAGCAGAGCACGTACCAGATGTTGTTTCGGCCGTTGAATTATTATATTAATCGTGGTATAGTGTTTTTATATTTTATTTTTTGTCTGTATTCGTTTCTTTATGTATTGCGATATGAAGGTCGGTTGAAAAATATTGCATTTATGAATGTTGCGCTAGTTTATAAAAGGTTTGTTCCAACCAGCATTTCGGGATCGTTTCGAAATCGTACTCGAATCGGTTTTCTTGCACTTTGTTGGCATGCGCGGACTTTGAATAGTTTCGTGACGGTGCAAAACGTATGAACGTTGAAACGCTTTGTGGATTGTTTTCGGGACTGTCAAAAGTGTCAAGCGTGCGCTTATCGATCGTTTTTTTGTTTTTGTTCGAGGAATCAAGAAAATACGATTAAAGCTTACCTAAATATTGTTCATATTTCACCCTTTCACTAGGCAGCAACTCCAAATTGTCACTATCTGAAGTGGAGGTAAAGAAATCAGTCATACCATCGTCACTCGTCCTTAATTATTATCTACAGATAATTATTATTACAAGTGTACAATTTAAAATTTCCGAACGATTTACTCCACACAAACTCACAAGCACAAGTATAACGCACACGTATTCGAATTCGTAAAAATAACCAAGACAGAAGCACCAGCCGGACACCGGACCAGAATCAGCTGTTAAAAATCGATAATCCCTGCCAATATGCTTTAATGCGCAAGTCAACCCAAACAGTTCTCAATTTAGACCATGTACCGAAATTACCGTTCTGAAATTGTAACTAAATGATCCCAAGGTAGGTTGGTACGCAAATAGGATCGTCCGATAACCGTCAAATCTCGGTTGGAACCATAGACTTAAAATAAAATATAGACTACACTATTTACATCTCAACGCGGTCAAACAATCTTTTTTGTACACATGTTTACTTCTGGGTACAGTCGACCGAGCCTTCCTCATCCAGCCGATGTTGTCACGTCTTTAATATTATCAATATTTTTTTTCTTGTTATACACATATATTGAGATATTAATACTACAGTTTAATAAAGTAGGTTTTAATATACCATAGATGTATTGAATAGTCCTTATACTACTAAATTATAAGTCGGATACTGTTTAAAAAGAATAAGTTCTTTACAATATGACAACACCGATTAGAGGCGAGGGAGCCTATTCATTCATTTAATTACCTTGTACTACGCGTCGCACGTGTGCGGTAAAGCTAAGTTGCCGCTATGTCCCCGGCTGTATTAACGCATTTTCTTAGCTTGTAGTCCTTAAGAGTTTATTTTATTGACTTTTTCTGTTCAAGAACTATAAAATATGGTTCGCCAGTGCCAAATTTGCAAGAAATTTGACTTAAATAATCCATTTAAGTCTTGAAAGGACTTTCGACCGGTAGGCAACTCTCAATTTACCCATTGGGAGTCAGTGGTCGATCTACTTAGGTTTTCTTCCTAATAATCCTATGGTTTGGCGCATTAAACATTTTAAATTTTGAATAAATTATGAGAAACATAATGCCAAGCGACAGAGTTTCAAAATAAAACAGACAAACAGGTCTTCTGTAAAGTTACGAAAGTGGCGTATTAGCAGTTTCTCCTTTCAACCGTCGATATTGATACCACACACTTGGTATTTCGAGTCGAATTGTCTTTATGAACCGCGTGTTACAAATTCAATTAAACCATATGCGAAAACGTCAACAGTTGACATATAATATGTCATTCTATTCAGAGTGTCATTTTCTATCGAATAAAGTAGAAATATACCGAGGGTGCCGTTTAAAAATTAAAAGTTATAGTCATTTCCGGTGAAACAGGAAGTGACCAAAAACAATTGAATGCGTCAATCAATCCTAATTTATGTCATATACTAACATACTAAATCTTGTTTTTTAATTTGAAAATATAAAAAAATTATGGGGATGAGCGACTTTTGGGACGCACCCGGTATAATAAAGACAGTACCGAGTTAAATAAATGTAGTTTTCATTTTATCCACTTCCTATTACCTTCATTGCTATAATGGAACAGATTTATGTTTTCTCTAATTTACATAATAACGTTTGACTAAAATTAATAATTTATTATTAATTTCAAAAATTACGTAATTTCGATTATAAAATTTCTTCTATAACGTGGATTTTATTATTTTTATACTTTTTGGACTCTAAGACGTTTTTTCTAAACTTTTATTTAAAAAACCTGTCCTAAATCTTAATAAAATATAAAAAAGTTTAAATACGATATATTTTTAATTTAATTATAGCTTCATTAAAATAAAAAAATTACCCGGCTATGATACGGAGAGTTCAGGTGTACTTGAGAAACGAAAGACAGTGTTGTGTTTCTCGGCAGAGTCGTCAGGGAACGACCGTTACGACAGAAACAACCTATCTATCGCTCGTGTCGCACTCGTTATAACCTAAAACAATAACACAACAATAACAAGACATTGTCTGACCGCATGTTCCAGCTATTTATGAATGAGATGCTCAGTCTATATTTTATTTTTAAGTCCATGGTTGGAACACATTTGAATTACTGCGCACGAGCGTGATCGTTCGGTGACAGTTCTCTGGTGGGATGGAACAAACCTAAAGTTTACGTATATTTTACTCAGGTTTTGAATATCCGTTTACTGCGTTTTTGTTTCTCGCTATATGAATCATTTCCTTGTTGTTTAATTTGTTGTGATACCTTTCTTGATCTAATATTTTGAAATTTTTAAAGTCGAACTCGTGGTTGGTGTTATATTCATGTTTGTGTAGGGCTGTAGGGGCGTTTTTGTTGTATTTGTGTCCATTAATTCTATTCGAAATATATTGGGTTGTTTTCCCAATATTATATTTTTTCGCAATTCCATCCACTATATTGGATCGCTTGTTGTTAGGTATTTTATTATTTACACCATTAAAAAGTAAAATACCTAACAACAAACGATCCAATATAGTGTATGGAATTCCATGTCTAAGTAAATTACATTAATCAGGACTGACTGACGTATTCAATTAGTCGGGGCACTTCCTGTTTCACCGGAAACGATTACCTAATTTATAAATGTTTTGTCATTTGTCATTTATAGGTTATAACTATAGAAAACAATATGGCCACTCCTAAAAACTGGACCCAGCCTTTCGGAGTGCTAAACATAGGCATGTGTGTGGTAACCATCATTTATGTGGGTGTCGGTATGATGGGTTATTGGAAGTATGGAGAACTGATAGAATCCACCATAACAATGAACTTTCCAATCAAGGAATTGTAAGTTATTTCATTGTAATTGAAATACCTTGACATACCTACAACCAGAGCTGCGACAAGTCAGTTTTAAAAAGACATAAAGCCTTTAGTCATTTCTGTAATCAAAATTACTTAAGTCTAAAGTCAAATTCAACGTAAAGTTCAAATTAATTAAGGCTGTATTCCATTTTTTCCTTGTTTGATACGGAACGCTTTGGTAAAATACTAGAAACGTCAAATGTTGACGTTTTCTAAATTTCAATACCTGCATTATAAAATTTATCTTATATGCATTTTTAATGTACCTGTTCTTTGCTTTTACGTTTGTTTCTTCTTTTCAATGTCGTTTAATACACGGAAAAAAATCATTTCTATATTCAAGAACAATCATACACTTAACATTTTACACTTTCTTTAAGGATAGTATTCTTTCCATGAGTACCTACAACAAATATTTGGAACTATTTTACTTTTACACTTGCTTTTTAAATATAGTTATAGTCACTTTAAGTAATTTTGAATTTAAAAAAAAAAGAATAAAATGATTTATATTTAAGAAAAGCTTATATTACTATCAAGTGAATAAATCCTTTAACGACGAAGAAACTATTATTAAATGAAGTATAAATGCTTTTATATAATAATAAGTAGTATTCTTAACTTTTTTAAAACTTTTACTTGAAATCGGTGTATTAAGACTTTAAATAAGCATATTATTCTCGGCGCGAGAACAACACCCCATTTCCAAGAGTTACTATTCTTATATTAAGTGACCATCCCCAACAGCAACAACGCAACAGTGCATTCTTGATACTTGTGTCTAGCCCTAGCAGGCAACTATTAAGCCCGACCAATCACGTTAGAGTTTTTGACAAACACAAATGAATTAACACACTCCAAATAACCACGCTAACCAACCTGATTGGTCAAGCTTAATAGTTGACTGCTAGGGCTAGACACTTCTATTCTTGATTCCTATCTTCATTTGGTTTCTGTTTCTCCTCTGCGACACGAGACGCGCCGGGTACTTTATATAAAGTTTTTTTGTTATCGTTTGTGCTTGTGATATGTTAAAATTGAGGACCTTCTTCAGGTATGGGGGAGGACGGATTTGATCCCAAAATTTCAAGGTAATTTTAGCAATAATTCTACATTATTTGATGACATTGGTTAGAGGTTAGGGGGACTCCATTTTAATATGCATTATTTTTTATACATTGGTGGTAAACTAGGTATGTACGCGTTTGGAATGATTCAATTATGTTTTAACAATTTTTATTATCGTTTCTCGTTTTCAATTAGCGATACCGCTGTTCAATATCTACCTATATTGGGAAATTACACAGTTTTATTGTATTTTCTTATTACGAAAAGCATATAATTTGGTAGGTGATGTTTGGCTTATCTAATTTAAAAAGTATTAACCATATTCGGGGTTATTCTGGTGATATTTCAATATTCCATACCTATTGGAAATGGAAATTAAAATTTTTAGCATGTCCCAACTCTATTATATTCATGTATGTTACTGGGCAAACCCGATTTTAAGATAAACTAGTTTTTCTTAGGACGAATATTAACCGGGATCGAAAAACTATATAGTTCTCACAAAATTCGGTAACGTGTTCCCTATGCTTTCGGAGGTTCGGGTTCGATCTTGTTAGAAACTCTTGTTTTGGTAAAATCTTTTCTTAATTTCCATTTACAATAGGTATGGAATTTTGAAATATCACCAGAATAACCCCGAATATAGTTAAAACTTTTTAAATTAGATTAGCCAAACCTCACCTACCAAATTATATGCATTTCGTAATAAGAAAATACAATAAAACTGTGTAATTTCCCAATATAGGTAGATATTGGACAGAGGCATCGCTAATTAAAAAGAGAGACAGTAATAAAAATTCTTAAAACATAATTGAATCATTCTAAACGCGTACATACCTAGTTTACCACCAGTGTATAAGAAATAATGCATATTAAAATGGAGTCCCCGTAACCTCCAACCAATGTCATCAAGTAATGTAGGATTATTGCTAAACTTACCTTGAAGTTTTGGGATCAAATCGTCATCTCCCACGCCTGAAGAAGGTCCTCCATTTTCACATATCACAAGCACAAACGATAACAAAAAAACTTTATAATTTTATACTACCAAAGAATATCTTAATACCCTAGAAGTCTCGTCTGGCATCAAAATCTGACCTGTCGATGGGGCCTCGCTTTGGCGAGCGAGGCCCCAACTTCGTGGAGCCTCGCTATTTTGCTCGGAATTGAACGAATAGACACGCGGCGTTGCCTTGTTTTGTGTGTACTTTCTTGAATAGTTTTAAATTATAGTTTTAAATTTTATCTATTGCTATAATCAGTCTTTCCGTTCTCCGCACTCCGCAGTTTACATATAATATTATCTTATATAATTCCCGTGTTACAGTTTTGGTTACCGTACTCCTCCAAAACGGCTTAACCGATTTTGATGAAATTTTATATGTATATTCAGTAGGTCTGAGAATAGGTAGTTATATATTTTTTATACCCTTAAATGATAAGGGTAGACCACCCCCATTTTTTTATTTTGTGAAAAAACAATATTTTAATTTTTTTTTATTTGGCATTAAAAAATACAAACAACACTAAATTTTCACCGTTCTACTTTCATCCCCTATTTTTTAATAGGGGTTGTTTTTATAATTTTTTGTTACCATCTCCGAAACGGCTTAACCGATTTTAATAAAATTTTATATGTATATTCAGTACGTCTAAGAATAAGTTGTTATCTATTTTTATACCCTTAACTGATAAGGGTAGCCGAGAGCGTAACCCACCCTCATTTTTTTTTAGTTTTTGAAAAGAAAAAAATGTTTTTTATTTTTTTATTTGGCATTAAGAAATACAAACAACCCTAAATTTTCACCGTTCTGCTATCATCCCCTATTTTCAATAGGGGTTGTTTTTTTATTTTTTTTGTTGCCATCTCCGAAACGGCTTAGCCGATTTTGATGAAATTTTATAAGTATATTGAGTAGGTCTGAAAACAGGTTGTTATATATTTTTTATACCCTTAAGTGATAAGGGTAGCCCACCCCCATTTTTTTTATTTAAAAAAAAAAATATTTTTATTTTTTTTATTTGGCATTAAAAAATACAAACAACCCTAAGTTTTCACCGTTTTACCATCATCCCCTATTTTTTAATAGGGGATGTTTTTTTTTAATTTTTTGTTACCATCTCCGAAACGGCTTGATCGATTTTGATGAAATTTTATATGTATATTCAGTAGCTCTGAGAATACGTTGTTATCCGTTTTTATACCCTTAAGTGATAAGGGTAGCCCACCCCCATTTTTTTTTATTTTTGAAAAAAAAATATTTTAATTTTTTTTTTATTTGTCATTAAAAAATACAAACAACCCTAAATTTTCACCGTTCTACCATCATCCCCTATTTTTTAACAGGGGTTGTTTTTTAAGATTTTTTGTTACCATCTCCGAAACGGCTTAACCGATTTTGATAAAATTTTATATGTATATTCAGTACGTCTCAGAATAGGTTGTTATCTATTCTTATACCCTTAAGTGATAAGGGTAGCCGAGAGGGTAGCCCACCCTCATTTTTTTATTTTTGGAAAAAAAAATATTTTTTTTATTTGGCCTTAGAAAATACAAACAACTCTAAATTTTCACCGTTTTACCATCATCCCCTATTTTCTAATAGGGGTTGTTTTTTTGATACCATCTCCGAAACGGCTTGGCCGATTTTGATGAAATTTTATAAGTATATTGAGTAGGTCTGAAAATAGGTTGTTATATATTTTTTATACCCTTAAGTGGTAAGGGTAGCCCACCCCCATTTTTTATTTTTTGAAAAAAAAATTATTTTAATTTTTTTTATTTGGCATTAAAAAATACAAACAACCCTAAATTTTCACCGTTCTACCATCATCCCCTATTTTTTAATAGGGGTTGTTTTTTTTAAGTTTTTTGTTACCATCTCCGATTGACCGATTTTGATAAAATTTTATATGTATGTATATTCAGTACGTCTAAGAATAGGTTGTTATCTATTCTTATACCCTTAAGTGATAAGGGTAGCCGAGAGGGTAGCCTACCCTCATTTTTTTTATTTTTGAAAAAAAAATATTTTTTTTATTTGGCCTTAAAAAATACAAACAACTCTAAATTTTCACCGTTCTACCATCATCCCCTATTTTTTAATAGGGGTTGTTTTTTTTAAAGTTTCTTGTTACCATTTCCGAAACGGTTTTGCCGATTTTGATGAAATTTTATTATGTATATTGAGTAGGTCTGAAAATAATTTGTTATCTATTTTTTATACCCTTAAGTGATAAGGGTAGCCCATTCCCATTTTTTTATATTTTGAAAAAAAATATATTTTTATTTTTTTATTTTGCATTAAAAAATACAAAGAACCCAAAATTTTCACCGTTCTACCATCATCCCCCTATTTTTTAATAGGGGTTGTTTTTTTAATTTTTTGTTACCATCCCTGAAACGGCTTGACCGATTTTGATAAAATTTTATATGTATATTCAGTACGTCTAAGAATAGGTTGTTATCTATTTGTTATACCCTTATGTGGTAAGGGTAGCGAAAGGGTAGCCCACCCTCATTTTTTATTTTTTGAAAAGAAAAAAATGTTTTTATTTTTTTAGTTGGCATTAATAAATACAAATAACCCTAAATTTTCACCGTTCCACCATCATCCCCTATTTTTTAATAGGGGTTGTTTTTTTTATTTTTTTGTTACCATCCCCGAAACGGCTAGACCGATTTTGATAAAATTTTATATGTATATTCAGTAGGTCTGGTTTGGTTTGGTTTGGTCACAACCTATTCCTAGGTTGTTATCTATTTTTTATACCCCTAGGTGATAAGAGTGGGCCACCCCAACTTTTTTTTTATTTTTTAGACTAATTTTTTATTTTAATTGTTTTATAGGGAGTGCTTATTTTTTAGGGGGTGCATGTCCAAAATTTACTTCTGGGTACACACTTTCATCACTTAAGGGACCTCTGTACAAAATTGCATACTCCTAGTCCTAGAACGGATTTTACATAAAAAAATTATACAAATTTTTACCTTTAAGTTTTACCCTCTTAAGGAATGAATTCCAAAATCGCTCTAATTATTCAATTACGCTACATAATAACCCTCTGTGCAAATCATCATATAATCATCATCATATTCCTTTCGAACAGAATTTATTGTTCCAGAACGTTCAACCCTTCATTTCACACCTTCAGAGGGCGAATTTCCAAAAATTGCTTCTTAGTGCTAAATTACGTTACATAAGGAACGTCTGCAAAACTCATATACTTCTACAACTGATTTTAACAAATTTTGTACAAATTTTCATCCCTTATTTTTCAGGGGGATGCATGCCTAAAATTCGCTTCTAGGTACTCACTTTCATCATTTAAGAGACCCTCTGAACAGAATTTTATACTCCTAGTCCTAGAACGGATTTTTACATAAAAAAATTATACAAATTTCACCCCTAGTTTTACCCCTTATGGAATGAATTCCAAAATCACTCTAATTATTCAATTACGCTACATAAGGAACCTCTGTGCAAATTCTCATATTCCTTTGAACAGAATTTATTGTTCCAGAACGTTCAACCTCATTTCACACCCTTAGAGGGCGAATTTCCAAAAAATTGCTTCTTAGTGCTAAATTACGTTACATAAGGAACGTCTGCAAAATTCATACTTCTACAACCGATTTTAACAAATTTTTGTACAAATTTTCATCCCTTATTTTTCAGGGATGCATGCCTGTAAATTCTGCTTCTAGGTACTCACTTTCATCATTTAAGGGACCTCTGAACAGAATTTCATAATTCCTAGTCCTAGAACGGATTTTTACATAAAAATTATACAAATTTTCACCCCTAGTTTTACCCCTAAGGAATGAATTCCAAAATCACTCTCCCATTATTCAATTACGCTACATAAGGAACCTTTTAGTGCAAATCATCATTTAAGGACCTCTGAACAGAATTTCATACTCCTACTCCTAGAACGGATTTTTACATAAAAAATTATAGGGCAAATTTTCACCCCTAGTTTCTACCCCTAAGGAATGAATCTACATAATCAACGTCTGCATTATTCAGTTACTTCTACAACCGATTTAACAAATTTTGTACAAATTTTCATCCCTTATTTTAGGGGGATGCATGCCTAAAATTCGCTTCTAGGTACTCACTTTCATCATTTAAGGACCTCTGAACAGAATTTCATACTCCTACCCAGAACGGATTTTACATAAAAAAATTATACAAATTCTTTTCACCCCTAGTTTTACCCCTTAAGGAATGAATTCCAAAAATCACTTAATTATTCAGTTACTACATAAGGAACCTTCTGTGCAAATTTCTCATATTCCTGAACAGAATTTATTGTTCCAGAACGTTCAACCCCTCATTTCACACCCTTAGAGGGCGAATTTCCAAAATTGCTTCTAATGCTAAATTATTGTTACATAAGGAACGTCTGCAAAATTCATACTTCTAAAAACCGATTTTAACCTTTTGTAAGAAATTTTCATCCCTTATTTCTAAGGGATGAATGTCAAAATTAGCTTCTAGGTACTCACTTTCGCCACTTAAGGAAACTTGTACAAAATTTCATACCTCTAGAACTAACACTTTTTGTACAAAATTTCACCCCCAGTTTTCACTCTACCCTTTAGCTATACATTTCCAAAATCGCTTATCAATGTTCAAATGCGCTGACATCTGTGCAAAAGTTCATACTCCTAGTAGGTACAGATTTTTTTTTTTGTATAATTACATCCCTTTTATCTAATTACACCCCTTGTGGGTCGAATTTGTAAAAAATTACTTAGTAGTGCTCATCTTAGAGAAAGAATTAATATTCTCCGTATTTACTCCAGTTTTCCTAATACTAGCACAGATAACACATAATCATACTAGTTAATTTTTATTGAATAGAAGTAATTTTATTAGAAGGTACAAAAAATTAAAAATCTAAAATTTTATTTCTCATAGCTACGTTTTTTTCATAGCCTTAGGATGCCTCATGTACTATCGAATATACGAAATATATAATCAATACATATTTCTTTAAATATCGAGAAATAAAATATGTTTGGCAACACCGTACGAAATATCGCCGCGCGTAGTCCTCAAAATTTAAAATATTAGCATTTTCAGGCTTCGATTATGTTCAAAAGCGCCACCGTATGACAAATCACTAAAGCTTCCACACGAGAGTTCTTAAAACTATAATATTCTTTGATACTACCTAGTCCGTCTAGTAACTAACCTAAAAGTAAGAAGAGGCTTTATTTTATAGTAGGTGATATTACACTTGAATAAAGTAATTATTACATGTACACAAAGAATTTCTATACTTAATGCAATAATTTGCTAATTTACAAATAAGTATAATAAATACTAATAAGTATAATACTCAAATAATTACAAATAAGTATAATACTCCAAACAAGATTTTATCTCGAATTGTCTGGAGTGTAGTTATAATCTTAATTTCAATACTAGGTAAATCTTAAATAAAAGATAAATTTTCTTAGCTTCTAAGGATAAGGTTTTCTTGAAAAGAAGTATAACTAGATTTGCGGAATGGGGAAACTAGCATATCGTTGGTTCAAGATTAATAATTTTTAAGCAAGTTTAGCTTTTTTTCCGTGTATTGTACTTTATTAATAAACTGTTAAACTCGTTAGACAGCTCAAGTGAAGATTTGCAGGTCCAATATTAAAATAGATCAATAATAAATAAACAAATCTAGTCAATATTTATATTTTTATAGCTTACAAAACATTTACGATTACTTGTTGTCTTGTTGTTAATGTTTTCTTTAAATGTTCTTGACTTTAAGAAACAATGGCTGCATGATAAGTTTAAATGGTCATAAAAAGTCATTCTATTTAGTTAATGAAATTTATTTACCTTTACTGCCTACCTCCATTGCTTTTGGACGAAAATACAAAATATTATTACAAATTTTAGAAATTAAGTCAGATAAGTGTAAAAATATATTTGACTTATACTGTATATCTATAAATATATTTTTTAAATGCGACCTACCATTAAACACATATTTTGTGAAAGGTTTGGAGTGAAAATTCAAAATTAGAATCCTGACACAGAGCTTTATTGAAACACGGAGCCATCTTGTATATATGCATTTGTATATGTGTGTTTATTTAAATACTAAAGGTGAAAGCAACGAATTCAAATGGGTAAACTTTGTAATATATCTTATTAACAATACAATGCAAAAAGATTTATAATTATAAAAATAATAATATAATTTATAAAAATTTGTTCACAGCAAATGAATTCCGAGGTTTGTATCCCATAAGGGCTTAAAGTACTCCACTAAATAGTATTTAATAAAAGCTTCAATTTTAAAAATATATTTTTTTCTCTTGCAGGTTGGCCCAAATTATTATTCTATCATACGCAGTAGCTATCTTCATCTCGTACGGCTTACAGGGTTACGTTCCCGTCCATATCATCTGGCATGACTATATGGTCAAGCGATTAGAGGATGCCAGTGAGAAAAAGAAGACTTTTTACGAATACGTTTTGCGTATATCTTGCGTACTTACAACTTGTGAGTATATGATACACTTTTTTTATTAAGTCTGAAGACTCATACTTTATATCGAAACCTTTGTATTTATATTATTATTATTTTCTTGTTGAATATTATGGTATAGCGGTGCGTCTTAAAAGTGGCTCACCCCTATAACTCTTTTATTTTTTTCAGAAAACCTGCTCTCACCGGAAATAACAAAAACTTGATTTTTAAATGGCACCCTCGGTATTCTTTTACTTTATTTGATAGGAAATGATACTCTGAATAGAATGACATATCGTATGTCAACTTTTGACATTTTCGCTTACAAAAAAATTGTATTTTAAATTTCAATCTAGAGTGCCATGGCTGTGTTGAAAACGCTAATTGTTAATCAAGGAGCCTTGGAAAAATAGATGTGATCATTGTTTTTCGTCTCTTGTTCTGGCCGGTTAAAAGATGCTCAATTTTTTAATAATATCTCAATTTTGTCAAACGGAACAAGGGTGGTTCATTTGCATATTTGGAAAAAGCATTTTTTTACGAATAATTTGGTACTACACACTTGGTATTTCGAGTCAGATTGTCGTTATGAACCGCATGTTACAATTTCAAATAAACCATATTCGAAAATGTCAAAAGTTGACATATGATATTGTTACGTTTTTCGGCGGTTCCGTGTGGATAGAAAGTCACAATTTATTTAAACACTATTTATTTAACACTAATTAACAAAGATAATAACGATAAAAGACTTAAAGAACTATTTACAAACGATTTATAACTAAAGAATTTATTTTGAATTTTAGCGCGTCAACTGTACTCGTCTATTTATGTCTGTCCTCTTTAGGCCCCAGCCGCCGGCTTTTATACCCACAGCTAAAGATTTATCGAATAGTCCATAGATCGTTAGGTGCATAGAGAAGGTATCGATTGTTCTCGTATGTACCACTCCATTCCAGTGGAACTCGATTCTTCTCGAACGTTGGAATGAATCATTACGGTGTCTATTCTTTAATGCGATGTTAAGGTCATCTGAGGGCGGGACATATAGTTAGGTTAGGTCGAGTCCACACGGGTCCGCAACAATATGTCATTTTCTATCGAATAAAGTAAAAATTTACGGAGGTTGTCATTTAAAAATCAAAAGTTGTAGTTATTTCCGGTGAAACAGGAAGCGACCAAAAAGAATTGAATAATTGATCCTAATTTTTGTCATATATTAACATACTAAGTGTCGTTTTTTATCTGAAAAAATAAAAAAGTTATAGGATTGAGCCACTTTTGAGACGCACCCTAGTAGAAAAAATTTCGATGTCATAGCTTCCGAGATATATGAAATAAAGTCCTTAAATGAAGAAATAAGAAGATGCGCAACCTTATAGGCGATTTTGTCGCATAAAACCTGTCCGAGATATAGCTGGCGTTAGTGTCAGCCTGTCTGAGATTAGTTCCGAGATTTAGTTTAGCTCCGTCCCGCTGTGCGCGAGTCATTTACAGTGCAGCGGATAAAGAATACTGTACCACCGTAGCAGACCGTAGTTCTGCTTTCAGTTGACAGAGTGAGTGGTTATCGGAGACAGTGTTGCCAGAGCTACTGATTAATCCGTAGATTTACGGATTTTGGGTACAGTACTTTAATAATACGGAATTTTTATCATTAAACAATTTGATTTGGAAAGAAAGAACTTTAGAGTTGACTTGGAAATGAAGATCGCTGTTACTTCATATGTAAAATATTATGGTAAATGTCAATAGTTCGTCATTTCCAAGCCAACTAAACGACTTTTTTCGATCATACGAAATATTCAGTACCTATATATGAATTTTTATTTTTGTTGTTAAATTTATGTTTAACACGAATAAATTTGCAATACATAAAGGCGGATTTTTCATCCAAAAATATTTTCGTCAAACGTATTACAGATATTACTCATTTTAATATGGCAACACTGTCACTTTCAGTTCCACACCGTCTTCGACAAATACGTTTAAATTACCTATACGGAGGGTACCGCTCATAGACTTAAAATAAAATATAGACTGAGCATCTCATTCATAAATAGCTGGAACATGCGGTCAGACACTGTCTTGTTATTGTTGTGTTATTGTTTTAGGTTATAACGAGTGCGACACGAGCGATAGATAGGTTGTCTCTGTCGTAACGGTCGTTCCCTGACGACTCTGCCGAGAAACACAACACTGTCTTTCGTTTCTCAAGTACACCTGAACTCTCCGTATCATAGCCGGGTAATTTTTTTATTTTAATGAAGCTATAATTAAATTAAAAATATATCGTATTTAAACTTTTTTATATTTTATTAAGATTTAGGACAGGTTTCTTAAATAAAAGTTTAGAAAAAACAATTTAGAGTCCAAAAAGGATAAAAATAATAAAATACACGTTATAGAAGAAATTTTATAATCAAAATTAGGTAATTTTTGAAATTAATAATAAATTATTAATTTTAGTCAAACATTTACAACCCCTAATATTAATCAAAACAGGATCTATTCCACAGATATAATAGAATCGGCGACAGGGAGATAAAAAAAATATGATTGTTGTAATTTTTTTTCTGGTTAAATGATGTCTTATTATATAAATTAGAGAAAACATAAATCTGTTCCATTAAAGCAAGGAAGGTGATAGGAAGTGAATAAAATAAAAACTACATTTATTTAACTCGGTACTGTCTTTATTATACCGGGTGCGTCTCAAAAGTGGCTCATCCCCATAATTTTTTTATATTTTCAAATAAAAATACAAGATTGAGTGATTTATATGAAATAAATTAGGATTGATTGACGCATTCAATTGTTTTTTGTCACTTCCTGTTTCATCGGAAATGACTATAACTTTTAATTTTTAAACGGCACCCTCGGTATATTTCTACTTTATTCGATAGAAAATGACACTCTGAATAGAATGACATATCATATGTCAACTTTTGACATTTTCGCATATGGTATAATTGTAATTGTAACATGCGGTTCATAACGACAATTTGACTCGAAATACCAAGTGTGTGGTATCAATATATTCATAAAAAAATGCTTTTTCCAAATATGGTAATGAGTCACCCTTGTTCCATTTGAAAAAATTGACATATGTATGATTAAAAATACGATTTGTACATCTTTTAACCGGCCTAGACAAGACACGAAACCTATTAGACGATCAAAACTATTTTTCCAAGGCTCCTTGATTAAAACTTAGTGGATTGAAAAAACTGGATTGAAATTTAAAATAGGATATGTTTTTAAGCGACAATGTCAAAGTTGACATATGATATGTCATTCTATTCAGAGTGTCATTTTTATCGAATAAAGTAGCAATATACCGAGGGTGCCTTTAAAAAATCAAAAGATGTAATCATTTCGGTGAAACAGGAAGAGACCAAAACAATTGAATACGTCAATAAATCCTAATTTATGTCATATACCTACTAACATACAAATCTGTTTTTTTATCTGAAAAATAAAAAAGTTATAGGGTTGAGCCACTTTGAGACGACGACCCGGTATATTAAAAAAATATTGTTTCATAATGTAATATCATTTTAAAATTCTTGTATGTTATTTTAGATTCTGAAGATAATTTTAGAATAAACCGGAATATATTTTTAATAAAAACATTATTAATTATTAACAGGGTTATAATTATGATTTTGTTACAATGTAAGTAAGTAAATAATGTAATGTATAAGAAAAAACTCAGATTTTACATTTTACTAAAATATTATCTAAATAAGCGCCTTTCTACAACAACGCCACTGACTGCCAATGGGTAAATTGAGAGTTGCCTACCGGTCAAAAGTCGTTTCAAGACTTAAATGGATTATTTAAGTCAAATTTCTTGCAAATTTGGCACTGGCGAACCATATTTTATAGTTTTTGAACAGAAAAAGTCAATAAAATAAACACTTAAGGACTACAAGCTAAGAAAATGCGTTAATACGGCCGGGGAGATAGCGGCAACAAAGCTTTACCGCACACGTGCGACACGTACTACAAGGTAATAAATGAATGAATAGGCTCCCTCGCCTCTAATCGGTGTTGTCATATTGTAAAGAACTTATCCTTATTAAACAGTATCCGACTTATAATTTAGTAGTATAAGGACTATTTAATACATCTATGGAGTATTAAAACCTACTTTATTAAACTATAGTATTAATATCTCAATATATGTGTATAACAAGAAAAAAAATATTGATAATATTAAAGACGTGACAACATAGGCTGGATGAGGAAGGCTCGGTCGACTGTACCACCGACTGTACCCAGAAGTAAACATGTGTACAAAAAAGGTTGTTTGTCCGCGTTGAGATGTAAATAGTGTAGTCTATATTTTATTTTAAGTCTATGGTACCGCTTAAATTCCTGTCCCGATGTTAAAGGATGACTATAGAATTTCAATGCATTTCCTACATAAGTCTATCCTTGTGTGGTAGGAGGTTTGACTAAACAAGGATGAACCTATGTCTTGAAACCATTCGACTCGATTTTCTGTCCTCCTTCAATACTGGGACATAAATTCTCTCATTGTTCTTAAGGGGAGGCCGCGGTATACGAAATTTAAACGTATTTGGTCTTCGATATGCCTTCGCTAGCCGAATTAGAGAAAATAAGCGTTTTATGCGTTAGCCGCAGAGGCTCTACCGTACAACACTTGAGACGTAATGGGAAATCATATCTACATTTAGACGGAGAGCTGGCTACATAAAAAACCTTATCATCGTTACATGGCTAATTTTTCTTGTGAAGGATCCTTTTGTGTAGCCATTGTGAAATAGTCATGTCTGCCAGCGCGATCCCGGTGCTTAAAGCCGGGGCGGCCAATTGAAAGGGTGAAATTTTGACACTAAAAATAATATAAGGTACACGAGTTATAATTACGAAAATAGCTTTTATTAATTATTAAGAAACGTGTAAAATTGTTGACAGACATTTTTCTCGTGGCTAAAATACCGGCGGACAACGCTAAAGAGGCATGGAATTTGACAAAAAAAAACATCGCATACATGCATGTCGATTGGTGGAATGTCATGTTTATTTATTTAAAATCGTGGCTCAATCAGCGGTAGACAGTTATAAAAAAGCGATATTACTCTACAGGGTGAATCTTGAATAAGTGCAAATGTTTTCAGACCTGGTAGATCTCAATAAAAGAAACATATTTTCTTTTTACCGTTTTCCAAATAAGTCCAAAATAACCCAGTTATTCAAGTTTGAGAATTTAAAAAGAAATTGATTTATTTTTTAATAATTTTGTGAGCCACTTGTTTTTTTCTGTACTTGCATCTATTCTTTTAGTGTCGTAGCCATAGAGTAAGCATGGTAGGTTAAGAAATAATTATACCGTGGGTAAATTTGCGGTGAATAGGCAGTTCTAAAAAGTTTTCTAAAATATACAGGAAAATTTAAAAATAATGCACGATTTTCTACATCTTTTTTTGCGAAAAAACCCTTATACTCGTGTACCTTATAATATTTTTAATGTAAAAATGTCATCTTTTCGATAGGCCGCCCCCGCTTTAAGCCCCGGGATCGCGCTGGCAGACATGACTATTTCATAATGGCTACACAAAAGGACACTTCACAAAAAAAATTAGCCATGTAACGATGATAAGGTTTTTTATGTAGCCAGCTCTTAGACTAATTGGAACGATTTCGCTCATTAGGTTGCGTATCTTCCCAATTCTTTCAATCAATGGTAAAATTAACATTTATCTTCTGTCCCCTCCTCGGGCTCATTGTCTATCTTCGGGGACTTTTAACACATATCAGTCCAAGTCTAGAGGAATAGTTTAATGTCATTTTCAAAACTGTGGGATTTTTTTTCACCGATGGGCCTTTTTTAACTATATAATTTGACTGGGGTATTAATAAACTTTTTCTTTTTCAGTCATTTTGGCCATGACAGTCCCCCTTCTTGGACTCTTCATCTCTCTCGTCGGTTCCTTCTGCCTCTCGGCTCTGGGAATCGCCTTTCCTGCCATTTTAGAACTGTGCGCCAATTGGCCGGAAAAATCCAACCCCAAGACCTTCCTTTTCTGGAAAGACATGGTGATCATCGTTATCGGTGTTGTTGGATTGTTGTCGGGCAGTTACAGCTCCATCTATGCCATCGCCCAAAAACTTGCCTCTGGAGAGTATTAAGAGGGAAACAACGGGAAATTATTAGGGGGTTATCCATAAATTACGTCACATGTTATTTTTAAGAATTTTAGACAATCTCATTACGTGTAGACTATCATATATTTATGCAACTTTTTCACTGTGCCAAGTAATGACACATAAAATCGTGTTATAGTAGAAGAAGCGAAGGTATTTTGGAATACTAGTTACAAAAAAAAAATCAAAAAATTTAAATGTTGATTATTTTGAATAAAATAAATAACGTGCCTTAGATCAACTATGTTATGACATACGAAAGTTTCAAAGTATTTAAAGTAATTTACATGGATTTTTTCACTCTCTCTTTTTTTCATGAAAAAAGTGACAAAAATCTCGACATAACATACAGGCAATTTTAAAATACATAACATGCAGGTAATTTGAAATACCACAAAAATAGCAGCAGATATGTTGTTTATATTAAAAAGGGACATAAAGCATTGTTAAAAAAGTATCCAAATATTTATTACAAGAGAAAATTAAGTAGAATATTTACAGTAGTTGCACACATATACATACGTTCTGGCGTCATATCCAACACAGAGTGCACTCACGATTCGCATGTGAGGCACTGACGTCACCTTGTACCTTTCCTTTGCTGAAAAAAAAACATAATAAGTATATTACTTTGGGTTTTTCTTATTACCAATTCGGAACAGTCCTATAACTGTGATACGCAAGCGCAAAAGGAAATATGAACAAAGTATTTCATTTGGGCGTGCGCTGCAGAGTTCTAGGACGGTTCAGAATCGGAAATAACACGAACCCGAACAAAGCTACAGTCCTCTTCCGGCTCTCTATTTAAATCAAATCCCGGAGATCGAAATAATTTAGCTTGCATTAGGTTCAATATTTGTTCTTGTGTTCTGATGTTTGTTCCTGTTAGCCTATATCTCTCCTACAATTAAGATCAGATTCAGACAAATCTATCGACACCGGACACCTGATATGTTAAAATCCATCAAGCAGGTTGAGCTACAGTGCGTGCCAAAGAAATTTACATACATTATAGAATCGAAAAGCAGCAACATGAATATAATTTAGACTATTTAACATATCGAAAAAATACATTTAACAAATTAAAGTATAAACCAGTAGTTACTTGAGGACCCAATCAAAGTTAATTTAAATCAAAAATCAGGACAATGATTGCCGATTTACTTTCCACTAAAAAAGTTTTTGTCACGTCACAATTATTTGTTCACGTACTTTTGCTCTGTACTATAAATTTAAATAACTACAAAATCTATTTTCCAATAAATACAAAGCCGAACCAGTGGTTTATACCATATTTAAACAAATAGCGCTAGGCATAGCTTCAATAAGTGAGTATTCCAAATTACCAACAATATTCCGAATTAGCCTCATTTCCTCTAATAGCACAGCTTATTTAGTATCAGTTAGTAATTCACGCTTGTTTTTGAGTATTGTCATCTATTGCGGCTATTGACACATGTACACAAGACTACCGACTTGTGTAGAAGACAAAACATAATATAAACAAATACCTAGGTTGGTATGCAAATTTCCATACAAATGTGGATGTATCGATGGTCATTACTTAGATTTGCCTATCGATACATAGCCATTTCTATAGTGTCTTAGCACTTAGTCAAAGAGCTAGTGTCATAAAACCACAAAAAATGTTAACTTTAACGGTGTTAATAAATAATTATTATTATTTAACAAAGAAATTATATTAAATCCTGTGTGTGTGTTTACAAATTTAAATAGTACTTTTTTTAACTTATAAATAATAATTATTGTACTTTATTAGAAAATATTATAAATAAAAAATCTCTTATGTTAAAACTATGTTCCTTTCTACTATCTTTACGTCAGATCTTTCCAATGAGAGAACTATTGACAGTAACAGTTGTGTCTGTCATTTTAATTAACAGGCGTATATTGTATTTTCGGTCATTCTATGGATGTCGTCTGTCGAAATTTTCCCTGATTAGTTGTACAGAGTGGTCGAAATTGATCTGTTTGAACAGAGAAAACCTATTTCCTGGCTAGATAGAGCAAAACCGACATAGATGTCATGGGCTCGATTTTTTTAAACCACCTGTTGATACTTTCACTGTCAATCGAGATACGGGGTCTTTTTAAATTTTTTACCATTTGGAAAATTGCCCATAACTTTTGTATTTTGCGGAATAATAAAATTCTGTAAAAACGTTCTTAAGACACTTTTTTAAGCACAATCTATTGGCGTAGTCAGTTTTTTCTATACTTGCTCTTTTTGTCAGAAATAATAAAAAACATATTTTTTTAAATGGAAATCATAGTTGGCTATGAACTTAAAAAACGGTGGCGTTTAACCCTTTCCAACGATATAAAGTTATGGGTATCTATTTCTACGAATGAGAGAAATATTAGGTTTTTAATCTTTATATCGAAGCGGGCCTTGATTTTTTGTTGACCTATTTGCCTAGTTACTTTTTATCACAATTTATATTCTATATTATTATTTATCTGCATAATTAAATACTTTTGAAAAGGTAAATCAACATTCTATATTAGTATTACCATTTACAATTAAAACGCCATGGTTACAACTGCACTATTAAATGGAGAATTTAGAGAGAATTGGATTGGAACAAGGGGTCCCATATTTTGGCCTGCTAGGTCCTGTGATTTAACTACTTTCGACTTTTTTTATGGGGGAAATTAAAAGACCTTATATATAAGGGAAGAACCATTGAGACGAGAGAAGAATTACAGAAGGCTAATAGGCAAGCTTTTGGACTTATTACACCAGTTCGCCTAAAAATTAATAATTCGTTGTAACTCTGTGCGCAAAAGATATTTATTGTATATTGAACAAGGAGGTGACCAAAGTTTGAACATCTTTGGTGCTTTTTTTTAGAAAACTATGTTCGTCACTCAAAAAATACGTTTTTTAAGGTTTGTTCTTTGTTGTATCGATTTCAATTGTAATTACTAATACTAATATAGAATATTAATTTACCTTTTCAAAAGTCTTTAATTATGCAGATAAATAATAGTATAGAATATTAAATTGTGATAAAAAATAATTAGGCAAATAGGTCAACACAAAATCAAGGCCCGAAATGGCTTCAATCAAGGCTTCAACATAATGTTAAAAAACCTAATATTTCTCTCATTCTTAGAAATAGATACCCATAACTTTATATCGTTGGAAAGGGTTAAACGCCAGACTTTTTTTAAGTTCATAGCCAACTATGATTTCCATTTAAAAAAATATATTTTTCATTATTTCTGATAAAAAGAGCAAGCATAGAAAAAAACTGACTACGCCACTGGATTGTGCTTAAAAAAGTGCCGTAAAAACGTTTTTACAGAATTCTATTATTCTGCGAAATAAAAAAGTTATGGGCAATTTTCCAAATGGTAAAAAATTCAAAAAGACCCCGTATCTCAGTTGGCAGTGAAAATATCAACAAGCGGTTTACCCCATTAAACGTTTCTCAGAAATCAAGCCGATGACATCTATGTCGGTTTTGCTCTGTCTAGTCAGGAAATAGGTTTTCTCTATTAAAACACACCAATTCCTACCACCCTGTACAGGCTTTAATAACGTCTTACAGTAAGACTTTTATTTTCGAAAATATAGCAGAATTTTTATTTTCTGAAAATATTACATTTATCATTTACTATTATTACTATATTGCCGCTGCAGGATCGCTAATGTTGTCATATCACCCAGTATATTGCATATATGTGGGTGCCTTAAGTAACCTTTAACGTTTGATGTAATTTCTGGACTGCTCCTTTCAATGGCGAGAAGAACAAAAATATTGGTGTTTTTTTAATATGTATTTTGCGGATTTTTTCAATGCACTTGAGGTTTGAATTGAAAGAAAAGTAGAATATAATTTTTCGCGCGAAAATGTTAATAATATAACAGATTAGGGAAACGAAGACTATATTTAGACTTTCCTTATACACATGTTATATATTTTTTAGTTTGTTTAAAATTGCATATGATGTAGAACATACACTCTTTTTGAAAAATTATACAATACTCTGTGATTGAATAAAAATGATTCCAAAGACATAAATGATATCGACATTTTAATTTGAGTTTTGTATATGTCAATAGTTGAATCTCTTAGCTTGGTGACAGCTATTTGTGAATTAATAGTTAATGTCATAGTTCAATGTTAACATAATTTGTAAATCATACACTTTGTAAAAAAAATATTTAACAAATACTTCATATAATAATTCAGCTGTATAGGTACTTAGTGTCTAAAGATCAAACTGAAATTATATTTCTCTACCCACTATGACATCGTTTTTGTTCAATCACACGTATCATATTTTAGGCATGAGTAGCACTGGTTAGTATTTAAAAAAGGTGACATTACGTGATTTATAACATTTTTAGTTTTATTTTATTTTTGAGTATAACGAAGAATGTCAAACATCTACCTTATTTAATTATCTTATAATAATAGTACTAGCTATATTTATAGGCATATTTAAAAATATGTAATGTTTATTACATAATTTTCTTTAGAAATTTGTGGTACTTAATTCAAATTGCGATTTAAAAGTAAATTTTAATACAGGAGACTGTTATATAGTCGAAGAACGATATTGACGTGCATAAGGTATATGAAGTTATTGAAAAGTAATATACAGAGTGAGTCTTGTGAGACTCCCCCGTTTTTGAGAAAGCTCACGGACGCCGAGTTGCCTTGCTTCGGTTCCTCGGGCGCCACCCCCCAACGTTTAAAGTGTTTGAGAGACCACTAGTGCCAATACGGGTAGCTTTTATACAGTGGAGATACCAGGGAGTGATGAGATGAAAAGAAAATAAAACACACAATTAACTATAACGTAACACTAGGTTTTTATTTAACTAATTAATTATGTACAGAAGTAATCAAGGAAGGTTCACTTCCTCGAATCGTAACAATAGTGAAATAAAATGTATATTTAGAGACCCGTAAAGTAAAATTTACAATAACAACCGTGCACCTCTAGAGTTTTGATCGATTATTCCCGATACGTAACTCTCTGACTGATTCTATCCCGCGAATTCAAAACGCGTTCCCGAAATGACGTTCTATTAAATAAGACGACGCGAGTTCCTGATCAGCGTCGAATTTAGCGGCGTCCTAATGAACATAGACACGTAGATACCGGAGCAACACACTCTACTACGACGCGACTCTCTAAACGGCGGCGACGTCGTTACAGGCGTCCCGATGGTCACAGCTTAATATTTATCGGAACGGCGTCCGTTTTGACAGCGAAACACGGACCTCGGATCGGCGTCGGAGTTAAAAGCGTCCCGTGATACATAAACGCGAGTCCTGGATCGATCCCGAAGTTAACAGCGTCACGAGGGATACACACACGCGAGCCCTGGATCGATCGCGAAGTTAACAGCGTCCCGAGGGAAGTGCGTGCCAAAGAAATTTACATACATTATAGAATCGAAAAGCAGCAACATGAATATAATTTGGATTATTTAACATATCGAAAAAATACATTTAACAAATTAAAGTATAAACCAGTAGTTACTTGGGGACCCAATCAAAGTTAATTTAAATCAAAAATCAGGACAATGATTGCCGATTTACTTTCCACTAAAAAAGTTTTTGTCATGTCACAATTATTTGTTCACGTATTTTTGCTCTGTACTATAAATTTAAATAACTACAAAATCTATTTTCCACTAAATACAAAGCCGAACCAGTGGTTTATACCATATTTAAACAAATAGCGCTAGGCATAGCTTCAATAAGTGAGTATTCCAAATTACCAACAATATTCCGAATTAGCCTCATTTCCTCTAATAGCACAGCTTATTTAGTATCAGTTAGTAATTCACGCTTGTTTTTGAGTATTGTCATCTATTGCGGCTATTGACACATGTACACAAGACTACCGACTTGTGTAGAAGACAAAACATAATATAAACAAATACCTAGGTTGGTATGCAAATTTCCATACAAATGTGGATGTATCGATGGTCATTACTTAGAGTTGCCAACGGGTAGCTTTTATACAGTGGAGATACCAGGGAGTGATGAGATGAAAAGAAAATAAAACACACAATTAACTATAACGTAACACTAGGTTTTTATTTAACTAATTAATTATGTACAGAAGTAATCAAGGAAGGTTCAGGTCCTCGAAGCGTAGCAATAGTGAAAGAAAATGTATATTTAGAGACCCGTAAAGTAAAATTTACAATAACAACCGTGCACCTCTAGAGTTTTGATCGATTATTCCCGATACGTAACTCTCTGACTGATTCTATCCCGCGAATTCAAAACGCGTTCCCGAAATGACGTTCTCTTAAATAAGACGACGCGAGTTCCTGATCGGCGTCGAATTTAGCGGCGTCCTAATGAACATAGACACGTAGATACCGGAGCAACACACTCTACTATGACGCGACTCTCTAAACGGCAGCGACGTCGTTACAGGCGTCCCGATGGTCAGAGCTAAATATTTATCGGAACGGCGTCCGTTTTGACAGCGAAACACGGACCTCGGATCGGCGTCGGAGTTAAAAGCGTCCCGTGATACATAAACGCGAGTCCTGGATCGATCCCGAAGTTAACAGCGTCCCGAGGGATACACACACGCGAGCCCTGGATCGATCGCGAAGTTAACAGCGTTCCGTGGGATATACAAATGCGAGTCCCGGATCTATCGCGAAGTTAACAGCGTCCCGTGGGATACACAAACGCGAGCCCTGGATCGATCGCGAAGTTAACAGC